CAAAGAAGACTTACCTCCTATCCGAAGAAAGAAAGAAAGATCCGCTCCTAAAAAAGAAGAGGAAGTTAGTAAAAAAAAGAATGAAATCCACCCTAAAGAAATCCCAAGAACCCCAAAGAAAACTTATCTTTTATCTGAAGAAAGAAAGAAATATCCGATCCTAAAAAAAAGAACGAAATCCACCCAAAGAAATCTAAAGAGCCTCTAAAGAAGACTTACCTCCTATCTAAAGAAAGAAAGGAAGATCCGCTTCTAAAAAAAGAAGAGGAAGTTAGTAAAAAAAAAGAACGAAATCCACCCCAAAGAGCCTAAAGAAACTTACCTCCTATCTGAAGAAGAACGAAAGATCCACTCCTAAAAAAAGAAGAGGAAGTTAGTAAAAAAGAACGAAATCTACCCCAAAGAAATCCAAAAATCCCCAAAGAAGACTTACCTTCTATTCGAAAAAGAAAGAAAGATCTGATTCTAAAAAAAGAAGAGGAAGTTAGTAAAAAAAAGAACGAAATCCACCCCCAAAGAAATCCCAAGAGTCCCCCAAGGAAGACTTACCTCCTATCTGAAAAAGAAAGAAAGATCCGATCCTAAAAAAAAGAAGAGGAAGTTAGTAAAAAAAAGAACGAAATCCACCCCTAAAGAAATTCAAAGAACCCCCAAAGAAGACTTATCTCCTATCTGAAGAAAGAAAGATCGCTCCGCTTCTAAAAAAAGAAGAAGTTAGTAAAAAAAAAGAACGAAATCCACCCTAAAGAGCCCAAAGAAACTTACCTCCTATCCGAAGAAGAACGAAAGATCTGCTCCTAAAAAAAGAAAAGGAAGTAGTAAAAAAGAACGAAATTCACCCCCAAAGAAATCTCAAGAGCCCCCAAGGAAGACTTACCTCCTATCCGAAAAAAGAAAGATCCACTCCTTAAAAAAAAAAGAGGAGGTTAGTAAAAAAAAGAATGAATCCACCCCCAAAAAATCCTAAGAGCCCACCAAAGAAAACTTACCTCCTAAAGAATCCTTTAAAAGAAAACATAACCGAAGAGAATTATCCTAAATTCATAAAAAAAAATAAAATAAAATTAAATAAAATAAAATAATA